CCAGTCTGGTCTGAAGACCCGGCGGCTGGCGGCGTCGGACAGCGCGCGCAGCCAGGGATGTTTGGCTGCGTATTTGCATGAGCTTCCCGCCCTCCTGAGCCCAGCCCTCCGGGCCATCCCTCACCCTCACCCCTGTCTGGCGTGTCCCCAGCCTCAGCCTCTTTCTAAGGGACTTCCTCAGCACATTTGTATTTTTATATCCGACTCTTTGTTTACTGGCTCTGCTCATGTTTCCTGCTCCCCCCTCAGTCTCGGTCACGCTCTTCTGCGCCTGGCAGACAAGATGGGTGTTGAGACTGGGGTGGGACAAGTCCCCAACATGGTAACCAACCACATGGCCAGTCTGCCCAGGCCTGACCCCAGGAAGCTCTCTGGCAGACCCCCTCCCTTCCAAGGTATCACCTTCCAAGGGCCAGATCTGATTTTACCTTGGACCCAAGTCTTGCCCCTGGGAATCCAAATGGGGACTGCTGTGCACCTTTGGATGACTTCTGTGGCCCTGGAGATGTTCTCAACCCAGGGGTGTCCTTTGTAAATGTTCCTTCATCCTCACTGTACCAGGAGTGTGTGAATAAACACAGACCTCCCTGTGTGTGTGTGGCCACTGCTTCAGTCTGCTCAGGAGCCAGGCCAAAATGGGAGGGGGGCAGGTACTTGGGAATCTTAGTTCATGTTGCTGGTGAGGGAGGGTTGCCAAATGAATACAGGCATGCCAACCTGGTCTGGAAACATTACGATGTGGACTCCTTGGGTACATGTACAGCCCAAGCAGGACACGTCATCAGTGTTGGACTGGAGCTGGGGTCAGAAATATAAAGCAATCTAGATTCAAAGCCTGCAGCCTCTTGTGAATAAATCCAGGTTGGATGGAGGTCTCTGAGGCTGGCTGGTGTACAGAGGGGTTGTGCTGACCTTTACCCCAGGGGATGAATCACTGGTGGTTCGGTATGGTGGGGGAGGAGGTTGGAGAACCTAGGAGACTTCTAAGGAATCTAAGAAGGAAGCCAGAAACCTGGGATCTGAGATCTAGCTGGACCTGGGCTGTTAGACATGAAGCCTCTGGGATGTGAGCACCTTGGACCCAATCCCAAGACCTGAGTTGGGAATTCAAACTACCTGAGGAGCCCAGTGAAGAATGGCAGGGAGGGCTGGAGGACCATGCCTCTGGTCTCACAGCTGAATGGCACTAAGGAAGTCTTCATGATCTGAGTCCTGAAGGAAGCAGGGTGAGGTGGGAGGCCTGGGGGGTGAGAAGATCTGGGCCCCCAGGGCCAGCTGGGCCACACTGAGCTTTCCACCTTTGTGCATGACGTAGAGATGGAAGTGGAAACCGCTGCCATAGGTTGCATGCTTCAGAGACCAGCCATAATGGGCTTGGGCATAGTGTTTTGTCCGAAAGTGGGGGGCAGCAGAGGTCATTGAGATGAACCGGCCCCCAGGGACCAGCACCCGGCTCACCTGCAAGGCAAACAAAGAAGCCACCGGTGAAGAGTGCACTTTCAGGTTCTCACAGGTCAGTACTTCTCCAGATGATCTCCCAGTCAAACCTCAGGTACTACCCTACATCCGGTAGTTCAGGCTTTCCATGGCAAATAGTGAGCCACCTTCTCTGCCCCTGGCCATTCCATGGGGGTAGGAGCATGGGAGTAATGTTAGGTGGGAGAGGCACTGCTTTCCTATCAGCTGCTCACCTTCCCAGTCTGTGTGGCCTGTCTAGAACCTGGCTGCTGCTCCTTCATCTCCATGGTAACCTAGTAGCCAAACATCAGCATTTGTGAACCTAGCCACTCCAGCCCTCTCTAATCTTGACCCAGCTTAACCCTTCCTTTCCTTCAGAAAACCACACCCCTGAGGTTGACCCACCACCTGCTCCAAAACATGCTTTCTTCTGTCTTCTTCCAATCTCCTGAAACCTCAACCCCTCATCTCCACCTCTTGATCTGCCTTCTTGTCTTGATGCTCCCTCACCTCACTCAGCACCTGGTCCACAGTGTGGACACCTTCAGAGGACACGGTCCAGGGATCCTGTTCCCCAGCCAGCAGGGCATCCAATGTGCCCTTCTCAAGCACCACATCAAAGGAGCCACTGGGGAAGCCCAGTGCCCGCACATCCATGGTCTCCCAGCGCAGCTTGGGCACGTGGGCATAGCAAGCCTGCATGGCAGCCACCACTACTGATGAGTAGTCCACACTGGTCACATCAGGGAAGCCTCCGAGGAACAGATCGTAGCTCAGGGCACTGTTCCCGCAACCTGGGGTGGGAAGGAATGGGTGGCAAAAGAGCTAGATTAGCTTTGGTTCTCACCTCTCAATGATTATCCATCCACTCTTGGCCCCATTTCTCTCAGCCCAACCCCTTCAGTACTGAGAAGAGACAGTAGTGCAGAAAGAGTATGAACCTTGGAATCACACAGACCTGGGCACAAACCCCGGCTCTATCATTCCCAGCTGTGTGGACTAGGGCAAGTTGTTTAAATACTAGAAACTTGAATTTCCTTTTCAGAAAAATAAGGATAACAATATCTAGTCTACATGCAGAATGTGACCCATTAAATTTAAGAACTGAAACAGCTGGAGAGTAGCTGAAGGAGCTCTGAACTTGGGAGTTCAAAGATCTGAATTCTGATATCCCTAGTCACACAGCCATAGCAAATCAACTCTTAGAGCCTCAGTTTCCTCACTCAGGATAGGGATAATATTGACATTATTAGGACCACCATATTATTAGGATAATATTATTATATACTAGTATTATCATAATCCCTAACCCCATAGAGAACCTTGAAAAATACCAACCCTGGGAAGGCTTCATGTTAGGGGTTATTATCCTACTTTGTTTTCCAATGAGGAATTAACAGTTGAAGGGGAAACTAGGTGGGGACACAGTGGAGCTGATGCCTCGTAACTCCTTATTTTTGGGGCGGCTGGCCAGTATTGGAATCTGAATCCTTGGCCTTTGATCCCTTGTAATTTTTAATGTATGTGTTGAGCACTACATACTGGGCTCTGCTGGTAAATAAGAGTTCCTGCCTTCAAAAAGCTCATGCTCTGGTGGGATGAACAAATGTGTAGTCAGGAAATTACCATATAATGTGATAGTGTTTCAACAGAGACAGGCTGTGAGAGCACATGGGAGGGCCAAGTTTCAGGGGAGCTGATAACCATGCAGAGTCTTGAAAAAGAGTCTTGAAAACTTTCCCATTCTTTGGTGGGAAGTGCCTGGAAAGGAGTCCCAAAGAGGGCAGGACCAAATTAGAGAAGGGGTGAAGGTTAGAGGAATGGACGTGGATCTACAGCCCAATGGTCATGACTTCTTTAGACGATCCAGTGGCCTCTTTCAGGCCCCCTTTGGCCAGTCTCAGCCTGAGAACTGGGCTGGATGACAGCTCTTGGCAGCCCCACATGGGGATCCCAGCTCTAAGGATTAGGTCGTCTGTAATCCCCATTTGTCTGCCTAAGAGGATCACAGGATCAGCAGCAATTGCGATAGCCCTAATCTTGCAGGGCTTGGCACCTGAACAGGGTACCCAGAAGCAGCTGAGGACCGGTCCTCAGCTGCCCCCTCCTGTCTTCCTCTTCAGGCCCTGGGGCTGAGAGAGAGTGTGGTCTTGCCTGGGAAAACTCAACACATGCTTCTACAAGTTGGAGTCACACAAGTTCTGGTAGGTGCAGTACATGAGATGGGGGGGGAGGGGAGTGCAGGTAAGGATAGCTGAATAGGAGAACCTGACTCAGTTCTAGGCTGAAATCCCACTGGGTTCTCTGACCCACAATCCCTTTGTCACCCCACACCTGACCTCATATGCCTGCAGAGTTCTGTCTAAATGTGGACAAACCCAAATTTCCTTCCTTTGTTCACCTAGTACAGGATGTCATCCTCCAAGAGAACTTTACCAAAACTTTACCAAAGATGAAGGGAGAACAAAATCTGACCACAGGACCAGTCATGCTCACAAAGCAGTGATTTCTGATTCTGTTGCCTCAGTGATTTGGGGCCAGCAGCTAAGATGGGGCTTGGGAAGGCCACTGCCTTCCAAGGTAGGGCCTTAGGGAAGCAGAGCCCTGGAGAACTGATCCAAATCCGAGAACGTGTCACATGGGGGCCCAGAGCTATGTGGATTCTAACTCAACATGAAGAGATTGAGATGTAAGCCAGAATGCCAATTTGCTAATTTATAACAGGAAAAATAGCCATCATGGGGACTACACAGTTGAATCCTCTGGTCAGTCCCTTTCCTCTCCATAAGAAACCTAAACTGGAAGCCAAATTATGATCAGAAGATTTCTAGAGAGCATGGAGTCAAGCAAGGATTGATAATCAGAGAATATGACAGCAAAGCTGGGACAGCCATCCATATGCATTCACCTGCTATGAAGATATTTTAGCCATAGGGACCAGACACACAAGTCCTTATGAAGGGTACTCTGTTCTCTGAACAGTCCTGGATAAAGTGCTTCTGACACCCATTTTCAATAATAATGATAGCTAACAGTCATTGAACATGAGGTACTATGCTAAGCATTTTGTAAGACTTATCTGTTTATTTTCACAGAAGAACCATATAGAAGATACTAATATTATCATTACCATTTTCTAGATAGGAAAACTGAGGAAAGTGAGTAAGGAATTTTCGCAAGGTCACACAGTCAGTGACAGAGCCAGAATTTGGACCCAGGTCTGTCTCGCCCCAGAGCTAGAGCTCTTAAATCACTATGCTCAACTGCCTCCTGGTTTTCAAGAGGCCTATTCATCTTAAATCCATCTTTAGCTATATCAGTATGACCATTAGGCTATAATTCACAATAAAGTCATTTTACCAGTTTCAACAGAGTTCTAGAAGCCTCTCTACACCCATCTGTGTGGTGCAGCACGAGAAGCTGAAGCTCTGGAGGCTGAAGGCACCCTTATTTCATCACTTACTTACTGACTGCATGATGGTAGTGGACACTGTCAGTGCTCTGACCAGATCCCCTTGCAGTCCTTTTTTTCTTCTTTTTTTAAATTCAGATGTAAAAATTAGCTTGTACCCTTGGAATACTTTTACTAATCTTTTGTATGTCCCTAGGTTTTGGTGTGTGTTTGCTTCCATCAGTTTGCATCTATAAGTCTTCAGGCTGAAACTACCCCCAGGGAAACTTTCCCTAAGATCACAATTTTGTTTTGCCTCTTCCCCTTCTCTCTTCCCCCATCTCTTACCAACTTCTCCTGGGAGCACTTTCTTTACAAATGACAGGGACATGAATCCTTATCTCAGGATTTGCTTTTGGGGAACCCAACCTAAGACACGGACCTACAGTAGGGGTTGTTAAATCCAGTTTGCCACCTGTTTTTGTAAACAAAGTTTCACTGAAACACAGCTATTGTCATTTTGTATGTCTTGCCTATAGCTGCTTTTCCACTACAACAGCAGGACTGAGTAGTTGTGACAGAAACTGTTTAGCCTGCAATGCCTAAAATATTTACTATCTGGACATTTTCAGAAAAAGTTTACACATCCTTAACCTAGAGTAAGTCTCTTATAACTCACCTGTAGAGGTTGTCATAAGCATTAAATAAGTTAGAAAGGGCTCAACACATTCCCCGGTGCCTACCAGGTGTTCAACCTGTGTTTGTTGAGGTGGAATGTAACAGAGTACTTTCCAAGTTGTGGGTCCTGTTCTTAGGTATTGCGGATTTTGTCTGGAAAGTTTTCCCTTTTGATTTTTAGACTTTTCACTCTTCTTATCCAGAAAAGGATACCTCCCAGCCAAGCAGATTTTAAGGCAATGTTACTCTGCCAATCACCAGCTTGAGAATCAGCTGTGGGGCCTGTAGAAAATACAGATTCGTGGGACCCACCTTAGACCATGCCTGGAATTAGAATCTCAGGGTGGGTTCCAGCTTTCTACATGATTCGGATGCGTGCTAAAGCTTGAAAAACACAGATCTATGGTAAATCTATAAATAAATGCAATGGTTTAAAATCACAAAATTCTAGAAAGTGTTTACCTCTGGGGGGAAGGGGTTTGGGGAGGACCACACAGAAAACCTTGAATATATATGGAGCTTTTAATTTTGCCAGGCATTGTTCTAGGTATCTTTCATACTCATTCAATCATTTTAAAATCTGGTAAGTAAGTACTTTTTAAAGGCTGAGAAAATCGAAGTAAGTATTTTGTTGGGTTACACAGCTAATATAAGCTGAGCCAAGATCAACATAATTAGCTGTCTCCAGAGTCCAAGCTCTTAACCACTAGGTTATACTTCCTTTCTAGTCCTAGTAATGTTCTATTTCTTAAACTAATTGGAGTAGTAAGCAAACGTATTAGATCTGTTATTTATACCTTACATATATTCTGTACATAAATGTCTTTTATATGTATTAAATATTTCACTTAAACATACAAAGGCTTTTACAAAAAGCAAAACAAAAACTGTAATTGGAAGGAAACCCGTTGCTCATTCAAACTTCACTAGAGCCTTCAAGGCTGACAGTGGGAGAGAACCCCGAGGGGGCAGTTGGAATCTCTGAGCCCCACCTTGCGTCCCAGCACTTCCCTTTGGGGGAATCACAATCTTGGCTGCAATCTTCCCTCCTACCTCAGAGGGCGCTGTTCTCACCCTCACTTCGCACCGGGCATAGGACCAAATTTCAGTTAGGGCTCTGAGAGTGATGAGATAGTAACTCACTCCAGGTGACTCTTTCTCTGAGGCACCAGGTGCCCATCGCCGCAAAAAGAAAAGCGTAGGCATTGTGCTCGACGAGCCTACATGTGCCTTAAAGTTCAGAATGGGCTCATGACTTGTACTAAGTTATATAGTCAATTAGCGCTGGGACGTAAACTCGGTCCTCTGAGCTCTCCAGTGCCCAAGGCTGCCTTTCCAGGGTCTGGAACAGGGTCCTGGGTCACCCCCACGCTCAGACCCCGAGGGACTGTCTTTCTCCGGAGGGCCCCCAGACTGACAATCTCTTACTCCTGTTTGTCCTAGCTAAATACAGCCGGGATTCTCAAGGCATTGGATCCCGGCTCCCAACTGGAGCGTACTTTTGAGAGGGATAAACAGACTAGAGGAAAGCAGACTGGGCGAGGCCGGTGCGGGGCGGGTCCAGCCAGCTGCACTTGGGCAGGGTAGCGCCAGGACTACCTACCTAGCACGAGGATACGGTCCTCGGGCCGCAGTTCCGGCTCTAGGAGGGCACGGAAGGAGGAGAAATTGCCGAACCACTCGTAGGGGGCAGAGTCGGCCGCGCCTCGGTAGCGCCGGTCCCAGTACTGGACCTCTCGGTACCCGCAGTTCCGCTCCGGTAACTCCGGCGAGGACGCTGGAACCCCGGGAGAAGCCATGCTCTCAGCAGCAGGGTGGTCAGAGCCGCAGCCTATGTAGCCAATCCGGAGGGTGGGATGCAGGAGGCGCGGCCTTGTGTCTCCGCCCACCACCTGCCGTTGCCCAACACAAACACGTGGAACTTCCGTTCTCTGCCAAGTGCACTTCGAAGAATCCTCCGACTAGGAAATCTACAAGGTCCAGCTCCTGAATCCTCCGGCTCTAGCGCCCACTCACTTTCCGAGAGCCACACGTATGGTGTCAGACTCACTCGGGTGTTCTCTCATTTTTCCAGTTTGAACAGCTCTTTCCATTAAGAACTCTGAAAGTTAATGAAACATCCATCTCTTCTCAAGTCGTTTTTAGTACCCGGAAGTCTCTGAGAGGAGGCTGGAGGTGCGTGGATATGAGCTTTGCGCTCCAGAAGAGACAAGATATTCCCAAGGCAGGCGTAGCGGGATGCTAGGCTTGGGAGGGTGGGGGGAAAGGTAGGGAACGTTGTTTTTCTGGGCAAATGTTCATTCTGCATTAGCGCTCGTGTGCCCAGGGTCTGATATATACTGAGGAGTAAGTTTGTTCCTTGTCGTACGGAGCGTGTAGTGCATCAGAGGAGACAGAAGTGGAAAAAATAAACTCTGGCTATTCCGGTCAGCGCTTAATACAGTGGGACGCCTGGCGCAGGAGCGGAACCTAAGTGTCGAAGGGTCGGGTTTCCGGGGTGTGGACACATACGAAAGGCGCACCGGCAAAATGGCGGCTGGGCCGCGGAAACGCGGCCGGACCAGTGCCGCAGCCCAGGCAGCGGGACTCTGCGGGCAGTGGCTGCAGCGCACCTGGCAAGAGCGGCGCCTCCTGCTGCAGGAGCCGCGCTACACTCTGCTAGTGGCCGCCTGCCTCTGCCTGGCGGAGGTGGGCATCACCTTCTGGGTCATTCACAGGGTGGCATGTGAGTGCGCCGACGGGGAGGGGAGGGGAGGGAGGGCTACCTGAACCCCCGACCTAAACTGGGGCTCAGACCTGGAACTCAAAACCAGAATGCACGTGTACTCATTCATCATTTGCAGACCCATATCCCTTACCCGAGCCCCAAGCCTGCTCGACAGAAAACCCAATTGTGATCCCGACCGCGTGATGGAGGGAGCGACCCTAGAGTTTGCCTTTCTGCCCTGAAAATGTATCCTGCCAGGCTAAGAAAGCAAACCGTCCTGGAAGTCAGAAAACCTAGGCCAGAATTAACGTACTACTGCTGTTGCTTGTCTCCGTAGCTTTGGACACGTCACTTTCCCTCCCGGATCTCGGTTTTCTCATCTTTTCAATTCTGAGATCTTGAAAGTCCCTTCTCAACGATGGCATTTTCTGACCACTTGAGGCATTATTGGAGTCTTCTTTCCAGGCTGAATCTAAACGCCGGGCTTAAGGCACCTGGCTTTCTTGCTAAAGATCATTAACTCAACGAATACTTATTGAGTGTTTATTACATGCCAAACATTATGCTAGGTGCCAGAGACGCATTTCCGACTTGGGTATGTGGGTCTGGACAAAGATAAGTTAGCAGGCAATTACAGTGCATCATATTTATCATGATAGTGATAAGACAGGATGCTATGAAGGACATAGGAGGGCACTTAAGGCAGACCTGAAGAGTCAGGGGAGGCTTCTTAGAGGTCCCCCCGAAAGGTGGGAACTAGACAGTTGAGGAAAGATGGACAAGGGGCGGGGAGAGAGTGTTCTAGGAAGAAAGGATCCTCTATCAAAAACCTCCAATCAAAAAAGAGAGCCTGAGGCCGGCCCATGGCTCACTGGGTAGAGTGCGGTGCTGATAACACCAAGGCCACGGGTTCGGATCCTATATAGGGATGGCCGGTTTGCTCACTGGCTGAGTGTGGTGCTGACAACACCAAGCCAAGGGTTGAGATCCCCTTACTGGTCATCTTTAAAAAAAATAATAAAAATAAAAAAGAGAGAGCCTGGTTCTTTTGAGGAACTGAAAGATTCTTTTAGAGCTGGAATGTAGAAATCAAATGAGGGTAGGAGTGAGAGATAAAATTGCAGAAGTGGAGACCAGACAGTGAAGGTATTTGAAAGCCTTGTTAAGGAGAAAGCACGGTGGTTAAGAACTTGGGAACCTGTGAGTTCCAGTCCCATCTCTACTGATTATTGATATTAAGCTAGTCACTTAACCTAATTAACTCTTAGGTTTCTCTTTAAAAAATGGGAATAATACAGTTTGGTCTTTATCTTAAGAGCCTTGGGGAATTATTGAAGGATTTTAAGCAGGGAGACCAGATATGATTTGTATTTTAGGAAGAGCTCTCTGGTGCAGGGTGGAAAATATGTTGTAGTGGGGTGAAAGTACAAGTTGGGAGCCTAATTAGGAGGCTGTTGTATCATTGAAATTAGATTGGGCCTAATTATATTAGGCCCCAATTTTTTTTTTAATCTTTTTTTTTTTTTTAGATTTTATTTTGTCGATATAAACTGTGGTTGATTATTGTGGCCCATTACCGAAACCTCCCTCCCTCCTCCCTCTCCCCCCTCCCACCTAACAATGTCCTTTCTGTATGTTTGTCGTGTCAACTTCAAGGAATTGTAATTGTTATGTCTTCTTCTCCCCCCCATTTTGTGTGTGTGTGTGTATTTATTTATTTATTTATTTTTATCTCCCACCAATAAGTGAGAACATGTGGTATTTCTCTTTCTGTGCCTGACTTGTTTCACTTAATATTCTCTCAAGGTCCATCTATGTTGTTGCAAATGTAGGCCCAAATTTGAATATATATTACTAAAGAAGAATGAGATAGTACAGATATTTGGGATGAAGAGTAGGCAGGACTTCTTGACTGAGGGATGGAGATGAGAGAAAAGGAAGTATCAAAGATGTTACCCAGGGGCCGGCCCGGTGGCGCACTGCTATAGTGTGCCGCTTGGGAAGCGCGGTGGCGCTCCCACCGAGGGTTCGGATCCCACATACAGACCGGTTCCCGCTCACTGGCTGAGTGAGGGGCGGGAGCAACACCGAGGGTTGCGAGCAACACTGAGGGTTGCGATCCCGTGGCCGGTCCCAGTCCGGTGCGGGTGCGACACTGAGGGTTGCGATCCGTTGCCGGTCACGAAAAAAGAAAAAAAAAAAAAAAAAAGATGTTACCCAGGTCTGTGACCTGGGCAGCTAGGAGGTTGATGGTGCCATTCTATAGAAACCAGGAAGGGAAGCAGATTTGGAGTGAGAGGAAAGATCATGAGTTCAATTATAGACATGTTGAGTTTGAGATGCCTGGGTTCATCCAGAGAATGTCAGATGGGCAGTTAGGTAAGAGGTGGTGATGGAAGCACTGGGAATAAGCTGGAACTCTTCTTTGATGGTACGGAGGCATGGGGGTGGCAAGGGACAGACAAGTTCTGGACTCAGAAGTAACCAGATCATCTTGTCCTTTTCCAGACACAGAGATCGACTGGAAGGCCTACATGGCCCAAGTGGAGGGTGTCATCAATGGCACCTATGACTATACCCAACTGCAGGGTGACACTGGACCTCTTGTGTGAGTGGGGATAGAAGGTTCAGGGAGGATGTGAAGGGCTTACAGAATACCAGGCTGAGTGGCCTGATGCAGGCTCACATTCCCTCTCATCTTTCAGGTACCCAGCTGGCTTTGTGTACATCTTTATGGGGCTATACTATGCCACTGGCCGGGGCACTGACATCTTCATGGCCCAGAACATCTTTGCTGTGCTCTACCTGGCCACCTTGCTGCTCGTTTTCTTGATCTACCACCAGACCTGCAAGGTGAGTCCATGCTACCAGGACCAGAGGGCTCCAACCCGGGAGGGCTGAGGAGTGGGGATGGCTTGATGAGCTGACCTTGTTCCCCACTGTGCCCACCACTCAGGTACCTCCCTTCGTCTTTTTCTTCATGTGCTGTGCCTCTTACCGTGTGCACTCCATCTTTGTGCTGCGACTCTTCAATGACCCAGTGGCCATGGCTCTGCTCTTCCTCAGTATCAACCTCCTGCTGGCCCAGCGCTGGGGCTGGGGCTGCTGCTGTTTCAGGTTAACACCCTTCCCTTCTGGGCCCCGCTCTCACTTTCTGCATTTCTCTCTTTCTCCCCAGTTTTCTGCAGCAGAGGGAGTAAGGGAGTGGCCAGACAGTGTAGGTCACTGAGGGCCCCACGAGGCAAGTCCAGAATCTGTAGAAAGCTATAGAAAGTCTTCTCCCACACACATGCCCTCTTCCCATCCTTTCTTCCCTCCAGACAGCATCCACTGTTGGAGCTGGTCCTTGCACATTCTAAATACTCAACATATGCTCCCTTATTCTGGGCATAGAGACTAGGTGTCTGTCCCCTCCCTCCAGCCTCCTCCCAGACCACCTTACCCATCCTCCAGCAGTTCTGAGTGTGGGCCCCATCCTGGAGCTTGGCATGTTGGGGAGGAGTTGCTGTAGTGGTGAGGGATACATCTTTGGGTGGGGTGCATGGCTCTGGAACTGATCTCCACCCTTCCGCTCCCCTGCCCACCCCAGCCTGGCAGTCTCTGTGAAGATGAATGTGCTGCTCTTCGCCCCTGGTTTACTCTTCCTTCTCCTGACGCAGTTTGGCTTCCGTGGGGCTCTCCCCAAGCTGGGCATCTGTGCTGTCCTTCAGGTACCCCATACCTCACCCTTCCCCTTTCTAATGAAGGGTAGGCCACTTGTCTGGCCTCCTTCCATCCCTGAGACTTCTTTAAAGCCAAGAAACAGTGTTTTGGAGTTGATTCTGAGCTGGGCAGCCACTGTCTCTGAGCTTTAGTTTCCTTAGGTGTAAAATAAGGGTATTGAACTAGATGGTCTTTGGGAGCCTTTCTAGCTCTGCCCATTTATGATTTGGTGAACCCAAACCTTAGAGCATTATACCTGCCTCCACATCTTCTTTGGCCCCAGGCTGTGGCCAGGGGTGGGGGCGAGGGGTGGCTTTCCTGCTATTACTGGTGGAAATTAGGGAACCTCTGAGACGTTTTTCCCACTCCCCTCAGTGATTAGCATGAAGGCTGGGAGCGAGCCTCAGCAGCTCTGCTGACATGACACTCATCCTCAGGTGGTGCTGGGGCTGCCCTTCCTGATGGAGAACCCTGTTGGCTACCTGTCCCGCTCCTTTGACCTTGGCCGCCAGTTTCTTTTCCGCTGGACAGTGAACTGGCGCTTCCTCCCCGAGGCCCTCTTCCTGAATCGTGTTTTCCACCTGGCCCTGTTGGCCGCCCACCTCACCCTGCTCTTCCTGTTTGCCCTCTGCAGGTGGCACAGGTGAGAAGCGGGGGGCAAGAGTTGGGGGAAGGAGTGAAGGGCCTAGGCCTTAGGGGCTGCTTGAGAAAGATGTTAAGTTCTTTGGGCTGAATCTAGAGTTTGGCCCATGATGGGGGCTTGATAAATGTCTGAATGGCTTTTCCCCAGGACAGGGGAAAGTATCCTGTCGCTGCTGAAGGATCCCTCCAAAAGGAAGGTTCCACCCCAGCCCCTCACACCCAATCATATCCTTTAAATCGTGGGAACATAAGTCTTGCTCTCTCCAGGTGCAGACAGGGCTCTGGTCAGTTAGCCGCATATAGTTAGTGACATGGGGGGAGTGAAAGGGAGCCCATTCATAGAGCTCCTCTTTTGCACCAAACACTGTACTGAGCACATTACGTATTGAAACATTTTGTTCTTAATTCTAAATATTGAGATACCATTATGAGTGCTCACTCTGTGCCTAGTACTGTCCTAAAATATTTACATACATTCTTACATTTAAAGTTCACAAGTAACCCTGAGATAGGGGAGATACTCTTTTTTTTTTTAAAAAAGATGACCGGTAAGGGGATCTTAACCCTTGACTTGGTGTTGTCAGCACCACGCTCAGCCAGTGAGCGAACCGGCCATCCCTATATGGGATCCGAACCCGTGGCCTTGGTGTTATCAGCACCGCACCCTCCCGAGTGAGCCACGGGCCGGCCCGGGAGATACTCTTATTGTCATTTTACAGATGATAAAATTAAAGCTTTAAGGGTTAAATAACTTACCAACATCAATCACACAGCTAGTAAGTGAGGGATTCAAACTACAGGCCTTATGGCCCTATGTGTTAGTCTCCATATTAGATTGAGGAACAGGTCCAGAGAGGTTAAGAAACTTGCCCAAAGGCCTACATCTAGGAATAGCAGAGCCAGGGGGCTCTATCTGACCCCAAACCTTTTGCCCTTCTCTTTTGGGACAACTCACCCACCCCAAACTTCTGCCCCTTCTCCTGCCCTTGGCCTTGACCACTGCATACAGATCGTTTCTACCCTCTTCACTTCCAACTTCATTGGCATCTGCTTCAGCCGCTCCCTCCACTACCAGTTCTATGTCTGGTATTTCCATACACTGCCCTACCTCCTGTGGGCCACACCTGCACGCTGGCTCACACACCTGCTCAGGTACTGGCTGGGACAACCTGGGGGAGTGGGTGGGACTAGGGAGCTCTTTATCCCAGTCTGTGGCCATGGAGGGGTTTGGGGTGTGTGTCTAGGGCATGAGGAGCTAAAGGGCTGCAGGCCTTGAAACTGGACCAAAACTGGAGCCTATTTCTCATCTCCAGGTTGCTGGTGTTGGGGCTCATTGAGCTTTCCTGGAATACATACCCTTCCACATCCTGCAGCTCTGCTGCCCTGCACTTGTGCCATGCCGTCATCCTGCTGCAGCTCTGGCTGGGTCCGCAGCCTTTCCCCAAGAGCAACCAGCACAGCAAGAAAGCCCACTGAAATCCACCCCTTTCCCTCCAGTCCACTTGTAGGACCCTGGGTGGCATGGATTCTGTGCCCTTTTGAATAAACCTTGCCAAGTCCACCTCTGTGCAGCCTACTCAGAGGTTGAGGCAGCTGGTGCCTGGACCAAGCTGTAAGGGGCATGTATGGGGCAGATAAAGAATTCACTCAGGCAGTCCTAAGAGGCACTTTATTGCATAGGATTTGGGGACTGTGGCTCTCTCCCTTTCCACTGTGCAGCACGGAGCTCAGAGCACAGAGGGGAAGGGGCGAGGGGTAGTAAGAGCCACTCAGCAGGGAGGGGAGGGTTCATGGGGTGGGAGAAGCAGGAGAGAGCACAGGCAGGCACTTGTGGGGGCAAGAGGATTCTGGGGAGGGAGGGAGAAGCAGTGGGGGACAGGCCGACACCTGCCTACCCCTTCCCAGCACCAAGAGACTGGCTCTGGGTGGCAGTGATTTGAGTGTGTTGAGGAACACCAGCCGGAGCAGCTGGCAGCCCTCACACATTTGCTGGGCTGTAGCAGAGTAGGTGTAACTGCAAGTTCTGGTCCCAGTGGCGCAGCAGTAGGAAGAGCCCCCTAGCTGCAGCCTTGAGGGCGGCCAGGTCAAGGCCATCAGGCAGGTGCTGGGCCCGTAGCCAGCCATCAGCTTTGGCTGCTGTCAGTTCCCACTCACCGAAGGTGGAGGCGCAGCGGTGCTCCAGCCACGCGAGCGCCACGGCTGTGGCCCAGGTCCGGCCCCGCAGGTCGGCTCCACTTAGCCCTTCTGCCCCCTCTGAGGTCTCAGTGTCTGAGCCCCGCCCACTGTCCACTTGGCCTGGACCCTCGGAGCCCAAGCTGGGGGATGGGCTGCAGGAGGCTGTGGCACTGTCGCCCTGGCCAACACCAGGGCCCAGGAGTGCCCAGGGAGATGAGGCCGAGGTGGGGCTGAGGCTGGCCCGGTGCGCTGCGAAAGGTGAGGCACGGCACAGGCGCTCCTGTGGGATGCACACCGCGGCACAGAAGGGCATGTCCAGGCGGAAGGAGCCTGGTGCCTCCTGTAGCCGCACCTGAGGAGAGAGGAGGTGGGGGGAGAAGTGAGCTGAGACAGCGGCCCGGCCCTGGTGATGCCACCCTCCACCTCCCGAGTCCTCACCAAAGGCAGGTAGTCGTGGTTGCTTTCATTGCTGCCTTCTCTGGCATGGCCAGGGTCGGGGCTGCAGTGTCTGTGATGGCGGCTCACGCTGAGCCTAGAGGGAGGCTGGGGGGGCAGGTGGTGATGACCTCCAGTGGGGGTTTTGGGGTTCCCCAAAGCAGACTTGGAGTTGTCGTTTTGGTCAAGGTCCCAGGCTCCTGACGGAGAGCCTCCCTGAAGTCCTACAGTGGGGCAAATCAGTGCTAACAGGTGGTCTCTAAGCTCAGTTGCTCCCTACCTTTTCCCCACACTTGGATGTTACCTTTAGTGTGTACAACTGTGGGCAGAGGAGTTGCACCTAGATGGCCCTGAGAGGCAGAAGGGGTTCCTGGGGGCTCAGCTGGTTCTGTAGGGACACAGGGGACAGGAGTCAGGTTCATCCAGGAAAGTGGTCAGTGAGGTGAGAACTGCACCTGAGAGGTCACCAAGGGAGGGCCCCTACCTGAGCTCTGCACCTGCAGGGCCCCAGGCAGGACCTCCCTAGTAGTAGCATCCACAGCTATGGGGCAAGTGAAACGGGATGGGGCAGAGCTGACCTTGCTTGTCTGAAGGGCTCGAAGCCAGCATTTCCGAGCATGGCCTGTGAAACCAAGGAGCAGCATGCTGACCTCCTACCACCTCCCCACTACAGAGGGATTCATAGAAAAAAATCTCAATGTTCCCACAGCTTCTGCCTCTGTCCACTTTTGAACACAGTGGAATGCCTTCTCAAGCCTAGAACCAGCTCAGACTCCCCAACTTTGACAAGAAGTGGTCAGGCTGAACCCTCAACCCATAGCAGGACAAGGGCCCCATGGTCACCCAGAAATTCAACACTCTGGACACCACCCAGAGGAAGAATTGACTGTGGCACCTTTTCCTCCACCCCATAGAACTTTCTGCAAGGATGAAAATGTTCTGTCTGCATAATCCAAAATGATAGCCACTAGTCACACTTGAGCAATTCAAGTGTAGCTAGTGAAACTGAGGAACTGCAATTTTAACTTTATTTAATTTTAATAGTCTTTTCCTGAAAGACAGAGATTTGTTTTTGTGTCATGGGCACTGTGAATCATTACAAGATCATATTTCTCTGTGCTGGCTGTTAGGAAGCTTGTCAGTTTGGGGCCCAATCCTTGCAAGAGTATATAACCTCATGGCATGCATCTTTAATATAACCTCATTCTTAGCTTTCTTTTATTTTCACTTTTTCTTATTGCTCTGCTTAACTTTTTATCTTGTCAGTGTGGTGAGCCACCTTAAATTCTTTGTGAACAAGGCGAGGTATAGAGTGATCAAACACAAGACCTATACTTCTGCCACTTTCTGCCCCATGCCCAGTTAGGGCCCACTTAGCAACTCACCCTGGTCAGCTGTGGTCTCAGGCCCTTCTCGAAGAGCCAGCTGCTCATTGTCTCGAACCACGGAGGCTGCTGTCAGCCGGTGGAGTGCTTGGTCCCAAGCAGCTTCTCTTACAGGGGGTGACAGAAGCTGTGAGCCATCCCCAGACCCCCACAATGTCTCCAGCCCAATGCCCACCTCCCAGCACATAGGCTGCTCTCCACACAGGGCCCGGATCACCACATGGCATCGTGGAGCCTGTGGAGGCAGTGGCACTACTGGAGGGGCTGACTCCTGATTGGAGGGCACAGCCGTGAACAAGAAGGGTGGTTCCATCAACATGTCCCAGTCCATGGGAGCTGGGGAGAGCAGGTGTCCTGGGGAGAGGAGATGGTAGGTGCATGGACAGTGTGGTGCCCTGGGCTCCACATCCCCAAGGCCTCCTTGGTGTCAGGGAGCCCAGCTCCCCATCCAATCCTTACCTGAGTCATCAAGGCCCTGTCCCAACTGTTGGCCTGGCTCAGGGTGTGGCCCATCTGGTGCTGCACCCAGAGAAGGGTGTCGGGGTTGGTTGGGGACTGAGTTTGCCTGGCCAGGTGGGGACGAGAGGCTTCGGCCAGCCAGAGCTGCTCTGCGCCGCCGGCCCAGCACCTCAGCACTCAAGGTACCCGCCTGCATGTAAGATGTGAGGGCTGCTGGTCAAGGAATGCAGAGCTCTGGCCTTCATACATACATACACACACAGTGGGCTACATACCCCTTGTCTGGAGCCTTGGGTGGCTGCTTACCACCCCTGGGAGGAAGGCCAAGCTCCTTATAGCCTACAAGGACCTCTGGCCCTGAGCTCCTTCCCAGTGTCATCTCACTACATTCCTTATTTCCCACTTAAGATTGTTTGTTTCTATATTTTGGCATATGTCTTTTCCCTCTTTGCCTGGCCAACTTCTACTAACTCTTCCAGACATGGCTCTTACTTTCCTGATCCCCTCAGACAGTTAGTTGCCCTGACTCTGAGCCCCCATAATACCATGTCCCAGTACTCATCATTATAGATTTACCCATTTATCTCTCTAGCTAGACTTAATAGTAAACACTGCACAATGGCTGGCACACAGCAGGGGTTAAATGTTTGCTGGATACATGGTGGCTGATTGTGGGCTGAATCTCACCTTGAATGGAGCTGGTGGGTGTACGGGGAGGGGGCAGGAGCGACACCCTGCAGGTTCTCCCCAGGCCAGGCCGCGGCAGCCCTGCTGAGAAGGGGGATCCAAGAGAGCGCTACCCTCGGGGGAACCAGGGCCCTGGGAACCTGGGGACTCGCTGCTGCCTGTGGAACCTGGGCCTGGCTCAGGGCTGGCAGAGCAGTGGGTGAGCACATACTGCTCCCGGATGTATGAGGACTGGAAGATGCGGTGCCATATGGCTGTGTCTGAGGAGGGGTTGGGTCCAGCGTCAGTGACTGGGTCTGTTAGAGCATCAGCACCTGCTGGGAGGCAGAAGAATGGACCCCAGCCCTGACCCCTCCCATTATCCACTCCTCCAACACGGCCACACATATACCCAAGCACTCACTCTGCTCTGAGTCCCCTGCAGCCCATGCGCTGGACAGCTCCGCTGACACAGTGCCTGTTCCCAGTGGCTCTGAGGTGCCAGTGGGCTCAGTGCCAGGGCTGGCGGCAGATGGGGCCTCCTCTGGGGATGGGAACATAGACCCACCCAAGCTCTGCCAGCCAGGCTCTTGGCCCTAGAGAGAATATCATTGGAAAGAAAATTGATTGTGGTTATACACTGCCTCTCTTCAAGCAGGATTTTAAGATGGTTCACAGGAAGAAGCAATAAAGCTAATAAGCCAGAAACAAAAAAACACTTCTAATGAAGGAGAAAGGAAATGTGTTAACTATAAGGGATATTAAAGCTGCATGGAGGTAAGCTTTAGGTTTGGCCCTGAACTTCCTGGCAGCCAGTCAAAGAGACAAACATTCTATTATATAGGTTTCATGATCAAAAAGGAGGAAGCATGCTTAGTTCTTCTAGAGAGATAGAGCTTTTTTTTTTTTGTCTTTTGTCTTTTTCCGTGTCCGGCAACGGATCGCAACCCTCAGTGTTGCCCCTGTACCGGACCGGGGACCGGCAACGGAATCGCAACCCTCGGTGTCGCTCCCGCGCCTCGCTCAGCCAGTGAGCGGGAACCGGTCTGTATGTGGGATCCGAACCCTCGGGCGGAGCGCTGCCGCGCTTCCCAAGCGGCGCACTATCCAGTGCGCCACCAGGCCGGCCCCAAGAGATAGAGCTTTTTGTAAAAAAAAAAAATGCTACCATTTCTGCAACTCATACTGCGTGTCAAGTATTCTGCCAAGAGCACTCACATTACAACCTCTAATTACAACAAACTCTGAAAAACATCATTTACATATGAGGAAATGGACTTGGAGAGGTTAAGTGACTTGCTCAAATCAAATGGCTAATAAGTGGCAGAGCTGGGGTTCGAGACTGCACCTGCCTTGTGTTCATGTGTCACTAAGTGTTACAAAAATGTGTCAGATGGTGCTTTCTATAGGGCACCATGTGAAGTAATGGGCAACAGTTTGACAAAAGTCTTACAGCAAATGCTAGAGCTGTTCTCTGTGGCCATGTGCTTTAGTGACCTTTGGTAAAAAACCAAGGGAAACACTTTACAGGACAGTTCAGGGGAAGACTCCATGAGGGGGCAGGATGCAGTCACCTGGGGGGCCCAGTGTGGCTTCTGTGAAGCCCTAGGGTCTAGTAGGGGAGCTTGGCAGAGAGAAGCACAGGGAATGGAAGAAGGGTTTAGAAGAGCTGCAGGGACTTCAGCCATCCCAGGCCCACATGCCTCACTCCAGCCCAGACCTACCCCTGGTGTGTGGGGCCGGAAGCCATCCACCCTGAAGAGTGAGCAGTAACCGAGCAGCTGGTCCCCAGGGTAGAGTGCTGGGATCTCCCGGGGGGTCAGCAGTGCCTCCATGGCATCAGGCACAAACCAGTCCACAGAAATGTCACTCAAAGCAGGCTCCAGTGCCTTTCGCAGAGCCTGCAGCAGCTGTGGGGAGTGGCCAGAGGATGACATGGGGGAGAGAAGTGTCACACAGCCAAACAGAGGAGGAGGGCCACCCTTCCCCTGATGCCATCTGTCCAGTCCCTGGGCTAATGGGGAGCAGGGTCAGGCTAGGGTTGGGAGAAGGAATGGGTGTAGAAGGAAGCAGGCGGACTGAGCACTCAGTCCTCAGAGCTTGGTCTGTCTCCTGGCCTGAACTTTACCACGTGGTTGAGGCAAGATGGCTAGGGTGAGGCTCAGTTCCAGAACAAAACTGAGAATAAGATTTGGGGGGTGGTCAGAGCCTGTGTCCCCACACCTTTGGACTTCCACATTACTCCACAGCAGCACCAATATCTCTTCCCCTGATTGGTGTCTCAGGCAGAGGGGAGATTGTAGTGAGGAGAAGTCCTGGTGAGGGTGCCAGGAGACCCTGTGGCCTGACTGAGTTCTGTTTCAGACTCAATGTGTAACTTGGGAGGATTTCCAGCAGTAGGGAACAGGGCCCAGGCTCAAGCTCACCATGGGCTGCAGCCTCTCTCCTGGCCTCAGGAAGTAGGCCTGGCCCCTGCTGAGGGCAGACAGACCCTGGAGCAGCTGGTGGCAGGCAGGCCCCAGCCCAAAGGAGAAGCACCTGACAAGGGAAAGGAAGCAGCTGTGACCTTCGAGAGCCCCTTGGGAGGGGTCAGTCTTAGGCACCTGGCTCTGCATGCTCCATACCTGGCTGCCCCCCTGTGCCACCTCATGAGCTCCAGGGTTTGGTGAGTAGTGGCGGCCATGGGTGAGGCAGCAGTGAGCAGAAACAGCTGACGAGGGTAGGCTCTGTGCTGGGGCTGCCCTATGGCCCAGTCAAGTGCAGCCAGCACATCTGGGGGATCACTTGCAGCCTTCAGGGTCTCAATGCTCTCACAGAGCAGCTGCATAGTGTCCTGGGGAGAGAAGGCACAGTCTGGGCCACACTGGGCTGCAACATCTCCATGAGGCCCCCACATAGCTGGACCACACTCACATCACTACAAGGCCGGCTCTCAGGGAAGAGTGGCTGCACTGACGTCCCAAACATGGCCAGGTTAATGAGCGTCTGGAGTGGTAGAGACTTCACAGCCAAAACAATCGCATCCTAGGGAGGGCCAGGGAGGGCAGCGTGAGGCAGGCACCACGGGCACTGGTAGGGAGCAAGGGATGCCAGATTGCTTGCCTTCTCCAGGCCATAGTTAAAATTGGGGTTGCTGCATGAGGTAATCTGGGAGAGGCCCTGCATGTGTGAGAAAGTCTCTGTCCAAGTAAGACCCTGGGAGTGTGCAGAAGATTCTGAGTGTGTGTGAGAGATGTTTGTGCATGGGACTCTGCAGGTGTATGTAGAACTTGAGTCTGTGACTCTGTGTATGAAGAGACTCTTGGAATCTGGGAGAGACATATGTATGTGTGAGTAGGAGAAAGAGAGGCCATGAGAGTGTGCATGTGTGTTTGGGTTTGGGGCAGGGCTGCTGTCTAAGGGATTCCCCAAGGGGTTGCTGCCTGGTTTCTCTTTGGAAAATGGTGTTTTAAGCAACAAGGCAACTCCTGGCTTGGAGAGGCTACCCCCAGTCCACCTCACACCCGCTCACTCCCTGCAGGCATGCCCACACTGTGCCCCCACAGGCCTTGTGTGCTGCACTGCTGCCATCCAACAGGAAGATGAGCTCCCGAGTAGCTGTAGCCAGGTGGCCGGGCTTGGAACTAAGGTCTGGGCAGAAGCTCAGCACCAGCACGGGGTTCAGCAGGATGTCCTTGTGAAAGCGTCGCTGCAGGAACCACATCTGAGCAAGGGAGCTCCAAATCAACTGGGGCCAGACTTAGTGCAACTCTGACCAGGGTGGGCAGTGGGACCCAGCCCTGGGGCCTTTTTCTATCTGATCCACCCAGAGCGGATACCTTTTTGTAGTAATTTGAATAAAAGCAGGGGCAGGTGGCTGTCCTCTGCCTACCTCAGAACTAGCCTCCATCCTCTGAGACACATACCAGAGAGACTCACAAGAGGGCTCCCTCCTCTGACAATACTCATCTGTACTTCATGATGGTGGGTGGCAACTATTGAGGTCTTGCCAAGAAAAGAGGTCCCCCTCCCATCCCCATGTGAGCCTGTTTGCCTGCTCCTTATGCATAAATGCAGCCAGCAATGAAGCCAGGAGCCAGACCAGGACCCCATGCAGCCATACCTGTCGGTCCCCATCACTGTCCCTTCGCTGCAGTCTCTGGAAATCTCGGCGGGCCCTCACCTGGGCCTCATATTCTGCTGAGCTCAGGCTGCCGGCCTCCAGCATCAGGTGTGGCTGATGGGGCTCTGAGAGGAGGGGACACAACTGTGTCAGGGAAGTAAGTGCCTGCCTCTGGAGCCCAACTGCCCAGTCCCATTGTTGTGGGAGGGTCCTGCATCTTGGGGCCCACCCTCACAGATGACTCAGTCTATATGGCTTGGGGCCCAGAAAACTATACTTGAAAAATGCTGCCTGGGTCGTTCTGAAGTAGGTCAGAGCTGGCCCACTGTGTCCCCATCTCTCACCACTGGGGTGCAGCAGGATCTCCAAGGCCCGGTCACAGTGATGGCCCTCTGCCAGTGTGACACAGATGGTGGCTGCAGAGCTGGCATGAGGAGGGGCATCTGCCCGTAGGGCATGAGAGGGGCTCTCCAGGCCTGAGGGACATAAAGGCAGGGACAGGTGATGGTCACTTCACCCCAAGCCAGTACTAAGAGCACAAACATCACCTTCCCAGAAGACAGTGGCTGTGGGCAGGGATCATGGCTGATTCAGCTCAGCTCTCAGAGTCTAATCTTCAGGGTCAGATGAACAAGGAAGGATTTGACTGCTTTCATGGTTTGGGGAGCAGATTCCCAGCTCTGTTCCTGGCTGTTCAAAGAGTTATACATCAACCAATTGCTAATTTAGCATATTCCCCCCGCCTCTCCAACAAGAAAAATCCACCTCATCACTTGGACTCATCCCATTGTATCTCTCTTCCCATTGGTGGGTGGGGTGGGATATGAATAAATTACATTGATAAAACTAGGGCTGGGGTGTTGGGTAGAAGTGGCCAGGGTGGGCTCCCAGCATTATCCTGGAGGTTATTAAGGCTTAGGTCCTTGTCTTCCTTTTGTGCTATGTTCCTCCCATCTCTGAGCCTTGAATTATTTCCCAGCCAGCTATACTGGGAGGGTGGGCATCTGAAAAGAGGTCAGGCCAGGCCAGATGCACGCACCTGCCAGCAGGCATGGCCCAGTCACCAGCATCTCGAAGGAGAAGGTATATGGGGCAGGACAGCGGGCAGGGCCTGAAAACACGTCCTGAGGGGCAGCCAGCTCCTCCCAGGCCAGGCCTTCCTCCTGAGGGCTGCCCACCCCGAAGCAGCTTGTGGGGCTGGAAGGGAGCATGAGGAGGGTCACTGAGCCACTATGAAGGCCCCTAGCCCCTCTGGCTGAATGGCCCCAGCCCTTCCTCACCCTATCCATCCCCCCAGGCACTCTGCCAAAGCCCCCTCACCCGCACTAGACCCACAGAAGCGGAGGGAGGGACGAAGGGAATCACCATAGGCCCAACCTGTCGTCACAGAGCCCCGGAGGCCTGGGGGGCCCTGGTGGGCCAGGCAGGGCCAGCGGGGTGAACACGGTGGGCAGGGCCACACGCAGCACCCCATCAGGCCTTGAGGGCAGCTCCCGGCTGCTGCGCAGGGTCACTGTCATGGTGCCAGCCGCAGCAATAAGGCCTGTGGGCAGCACCAGCGTGGACCAGGCCTGGGCCAGATCCAAGACAAGATGACCTATGATAATTGAGAAAAGGGGTCAAAGGTGGCTGGAAGCAGAGGAGATAGGGGATGATAAAGGTGGGAGCAAGCACTGAGTCAGGGAGCCTGGGCAAGGGGGACTATGAGTGGCTGGTGCGACAGGGGGCTAACACACTGGTGATGCAGGATGGAGGCATGAGATGAATGATGATGGCAGGAGAGGCAGATTGATGGTGGAAGGATCCAGCTGTTATCAGTAAAGGGAGCAGGGACATCACTCCTCATGGAGGGCTGAGGAGAAGGACATGTTTACTCCCGAGGTCCTAGGGAACCCATACCCATCTGACTTTCTTCCCCGCCTGTCCTTTCCCATTCAACCCTTGCACATTCTAAAGGACCCTCTCATGGATAGACATCTCCCCGTCGCTTGGGACCCACTTGGGACCCACTCTGCTCACAAAAACCCCTGCTCATAAACCTTCAAGGCCTCCCCACCACCCATTAGGGTGGCTCCAGAATTTTCTACCCAGGAGGAGCTTCGGGGCAGCAGTCTGCTTGGAAGCAGGCTAGAGAACATAAAGGTGTATTTGCATACCAAGCACACTGTTTTATTTAGATTGTAGGTTTATTTGGGGACTGGTGGAGCTGTGGAAGTCACCACTGATGCTAAAGGAGTAATGGCCAGGTGCGTGTACCACCTACACAGTCTGGCTCCAGCCCACCTTTACAGCCTATTTTATCTCACTTCCCCACGATAATCATTTGTTCATCTTTTCAAGAAATACTTGCTGAATAAATGAAGGGAAGAAAAAGATGGAAGGAAAGGAAAGAAGGAAGGTAAGGAAGAAAGGGACTTCCATTGTCAGCCAGCTGAGGCTTGGGGACAGCCTGATACAATGGAGAGAGCACAGCATCAGGTTTTGAGTCTCAGCTCTGACTCAGTTGTGTCCTTTGGTAACTCTCTTGTTCTGGGGAGCTTCACTTTCCTTATCCACAAAATGGGGATCATAATAACTATATCTCAAAGATTTTGATGAGGAATAAATGAGAATGTATGCAAAGCACCTAACATGTAAGTGGCTCTTGCTATTATTTTCTTCACCTATAAAGGGGGGAAGTGGAAACACACTTGCGTTACACACCTCTCAGGATTCAAATGAGGTGATACTGGTGACTGTAAACCAAATCACTATAAACATGAGGTATATTATTACCATTATCCAATATAACCTACTTACCAACAGTTGTTTATACCATTGCCCCTACTCTCCGCTTAACCAAATCCTATCCTTCCCTTAGTCAGATGCTGGCTCTACCTCATTCTGGAACATTCCTGGGGCCTCAGCCTAGAGCTCTGGCCTCTAACCACCTGCTCGGCTTCTGCCAACCCTCAGCGCCACTGGAGTCTGTCCTTCTTCTTACCCAGGTGGTAAATCCCATGGGTAGGAATCAAATTAATGTATGAATGAATAAATGAAAGAATGAAGTGCAAGCCACAGAATCTAGCACAGGGCTGGGCTTCCATCCCCTACCCCAGTACTCATTGGGCCCCTTTGTGCCACGTTCTGTGTGAGATGCTGGGACTTGGAGACGATCAAAACCCAGTCCTAAGCTCAGGAGTTAATGCTCCAGAGGGGGAGACAAACATGCAGGCCCGAGACAATTACTCCCTCTAGTAAGAGCTGTAATGAGGTGCACAATAGGCTGGGGAGCAAGGGAAGAGTGCAATTAATTTTATGTGGAGGAGACAGGGAGGGTTTCCCAAGGAGTGACATTTGAGTGGATCTTAAAGGACAAGCACAAATTTGCTTATTAGGAGAAGGGAAGATCGAGCAGGGAGGTGTAAAAGGACCTGTCAGTGTGGTCAGTGCTTGCCATACTTGGTGTGTGTGAGGAGGTGGGGGTTGGCGGGTGGGGTGAGGGTGGTGGAAGAATGGAATGGGTTGAGAGTGAGGGCCTTGGCTGCTAGGCAGAGGAGTTTGCACTTGATCTAGGAGAGAGCCCATTCACATGGGGACTGGCTGAGGAGGTGTGTAACCTAAATGGTGAGGGGCTGTAGGGGGGCCAACTGGGGAGGTGCTCCCTGCAGCACCCTGGAAAGACTGTAATCGCTTGGGCAGTAAGGGCGGATGGTGCCCAGCAAGGCTTGTGTTGCCTGCTGTGTCTGTCTCCCTGGTTGCGATTCTCAGGCCAGGCCTTGGGCCAATACCCAGCACCTGGCGCAAACCAGGTGCACAAGTCCTCGACTGTTGAATAAAGGGAGAATCAATGAATGAAAAACTCAGTGCCTCGAGGAAGAAGGGGGAGGGGCGGGCCGCGGGGCGAGTGCAGGCACCTGAGCAGCCGCTGGTTTTGAGAAGCGCGGGGTGCGGGCGTGCTGGACTCACCCTGCGCGCAGCGGCGGGGGGTTGAGGTCCCCAACCCGGGGCCCAGCGCGCGGCAGCAGGCGGCCTGCGAGCGGCGCCGGCTCTGCAGCTGGAAGGAGACTCGCCGTCCGGCCGCCTCGGCCTCGAAGCCGGATACCACCTCTGCCTCAGCCAGCGGGTACACGAACACGCCTAGGGGGAAGGGCGGGCAGGAGGCGGCGTCGGACTCCGCCCGGCACCCGCTCCCCACCAGCCCGCGCCCCCGCTCGGCCCTCACCGTCCACCGGCTGCGGCTGCGGGTTGTGGTAGGTGAGCCGGGCCCGCAGGCTCAGGCAGGGTCCGTTGGCGCAGGCCCGGACCCAGGAGTCCGTGAGGGGCAGCGGCGTCCAGCTGGAGGGGCAGTACAGGCCCGGCATGGTGCCAGGAGGACGGCCCTGGGGGGCGGGGTCGCCGGGTGAGTCCAGGGCGCCCCACCCGCGCTCCTGGACGCGGGCCGCCCGAGTCTGACTCCGGCACCGGCACGCGGGTCTGCAGAGGGCGCGAGGCTGTGCCGGGGGCTCCCGCCAGGCCGACAGGTGGCAGGGGAGATAAGAAGGGGGCGGGGGGAATGGCGAGATGGGTATCCTCACCCGTTACCTGGGAAGCCGGGGCGGAGCGCAGCTCGGGGCAGCTAGGGGACCCGGTGAGCCGAGGGTTAATGATTAACCCGCGCTCCGGGCGCCCTACAGTCCCGCCGCCAGCTCCACTGGGGGTTGGCGGGCGCGGGGGGGGGGGGGGGGGGGGGGGGGG